GCCTTCCCTCTAGTCTTACACTGCTAAATTAGGGACGGCTAACGAAGATAGCCCTCGTGTAGCTGTGCGCGAAATTCAAAAACAAACAAACAAGCTGTTCAAAGTATGTGTATACATTGTGTTTGTGTTCTAATAAAGACTGTGCTTACTTGTTTTACATTGGGTTTAGTCTCTTTATTTCATTCTCACGGATTCAAGTATTCATAAAAAATATCTTGTTGAATCTGTTGTTATTTTGCAGACCTATATTCCATCGTTCCTTAGAAAAATCAATTTCAATTAAATATACCCTACTATCAGTGCAAATTTTTAAGTTTGTTACCATGATATTGATCCTAGCTTTTTACAAACATTGTTAAAAGTGCCGTAAATTTGCAATCGCACAGGTATCTTCGCTCTAAAAATTAACTTGCACTCATTGTCGTGGCTGGATCAAATACTAATTTCACCTTTCTGTAATTAGTTTAGAGTATATCTTTATTTGGTTATATTCATGTTTTTTTTTAGCTCACATGCATTTTCTGCATGTAGTTTACTACGTCTGACCACATGTCAAAATATGTGCAAATTCTTCAACACAGATAATGGACATACTGCAGACTTTATTCTTAAGTCTCAAGCTAGCATGAAATAATTTCTATATGAACTTTTTGAATGTAGCTTGTTCAAATATTTAATACAAAACCCTACACAACAGGCTCAGGATGGCATAGAATTGTACGTAAACCAATGATTGGAGTTTACACTGAAAGGGTTGCAATGGGAGAAGTGTCTGGTCTACATTGACAATGATTTTATGTTTGATCACATGTTCAAGTCTGTGGCTAAGAATCTGAAAATGGTATTCCAGTTGATAAATAAAGTAGGCTTGAAACTGACAGCATAAAAACGCATGCTCGTGTATACAAAAGTAAAGTATCTCTGTCACATCGTAGGTATGTTGCCCCCCAGTGGCACAGCGGTATGTCTGCGGACTTACAACGCTAGAATCCGGGTTTCGATACCCGTGGTGGGCAGAACACAGATAGCCCATTGTGTAGCTTTGTGCTTAATTACAAACAAACAAATCGTAGGTATAGATGGAGTTTTTACAGACCCTGTTATGATAGCAGCAGTAAGAGACTAGCCCAAACCTGTAATAAAGTGAGAAGTTGTCCACAGTTTCCTTGGTTTCGTGTCATATTATCGACGGTTTATGGTCAAATTCTCTAAGATATCCACAGCATTAAAATTTAGACACACTTTGAATGGAGCGAGGACTTGGATCAAGAATTTTGATTACTAAAGCTTGTTTTAGTGGATAATCCAATGCTAGCATATGCATTACAAAAAAGCAAGTTCATATTGTGACAAAAGAATCAAGAAGGGGAATTATTATAGCTGGAGGATGGAGTAGAATATGTAATTGTATATGCTAGTCATATGTTGATGGCTCCATAATTTAGATACTGTATGATGGAAGAAAAAAACTGCTTGCAACTGTGGTCTTCATAAACACTGTTGCTACTTCTTGTTTGGTAGATGATTCACTGTCCAGGTGAAACTGTTTTGCTGAAATGGTTCACAAGCTTTAAAAATCCGGAAGGGTGATAGTTTATTGTAGAAAAAAACATTGCAATAGTACGTCTGTCATACTGCATTGGCTGAGCCTGCAACATAGAAACGTGGATGGACTATTTTGCTGCATGGTGAGACCCTGTATGTCTGTGAAGATTAATACTTTGAGTGCTCTGGAAAGAGCAAACTGAAAGATCCTGGTCTAGCATGGGCAGTTCTTACCATGTACCAAGATAAAGCCCAGCCAGTATAAATAGAGGTACGTATCTTGGATGCTCATAATCTATGGCACTTACTCAGACTGATGCAGCAAATGGTCTCCAGAATACTAAGACAGGATATCCTCCAGACTTCGCATAATACAAAGACTGGAGGACACCAAGATATTATCCATCCTTGGGCTAACAGCTATTCTTCTGGACACATTCGAGTCAAGATGTTTGGTGTTGGTGAGAATATTGTACAGTGTGTGCCGCCCAGGAAAAGAACTGGCTGAAGCAGGGTAAATTCCTACAGAGAGTTGTTTGGTCTACAACAAAGGTTAAACTGGATATCACTGGCCCATTTCCAGAGATTGAGAGATGTAATTTTTATATATTCATCTCCATTAACTATTTCATGAAGTAGACAAATGCTTATCCATTGGTCAATACATTACGACAGTCCATAGCTGACTTGTTGGTGGAGCATTGGATAGCATGTTTAGGAGCACTGGAAAAAAATTGTCACAGATGAAAGAGAAATTTCAATGGCCAGTTGTCCTATAAATTGTTTAAAGTGTTAATTGTGGGGAAGATATGCACTTTACCATATCACTCCCAGTCAGATGACTTAGCAGAATGGGCAATACAAATTACCAAGTTTGTTAATCTTGACCAAACCAAGTGGAATGAGCATACAGAAATCTACAGTCTGTTCGACAAATATGCTTATGTCTTGATGATAAATCCCGTCACAGTTAGAAAAATCTGCCAAACTTCAGAAGTAATATGTTAAGACTATATAGGAATGCATTTATTATTGTATAGATTGGGCCTGGCCATAGTACATGCCAGCACCAAGGAAGCTACTCAGACTCAACAGGACAGGTCTGTATATCATACTCCAGCAGTTTGATCCAATGATATATGAGTTACAATAGACTCAAAGCACATGAAAGCATGTGGAGGATGAATACAAGATATATTCGAATGTCATAAATGAATCTTTCATGCACTGGCCTAATCAGGAGACTGGAGTGGAAATGGATGAGAATGTCATCTCAAGTCATGACGACTCACCTGACAAGGAGGAAAGAGCTGAAAATAATTATCTGCGAATTCATGAGGAAACACTAGAGATAGAGGTAAGAGACTGCTCCATCAGTCGGCTGAGCTACCATTAGTGGCCTCTTGATCAATATGATCAGAAGTAGCTGATCATAATAGAGCTAGGACCGTCACAGAATGCAGGATCACAGATTGAAAGGAAGTTGTTATCCTTGCTTTTCAAGCTATCAAGTGGTATTCTCAGTACATTGTATGCACTACATTGTCCAATTTCCAATTAATACACAGTTAGTATGAATTGTTAATCATAAGATAAATGGGACCAAAAGGACTTAACAACCCTTGCTTTCCAAACTACAGAGTAGAGTTTCCTAAAAGGAAACACCCATTTGATATCAGATGAAACCTGCTTTATTTACTTCATAAGTTAGGACAGTCATGTGACTGAAAAAGCATTATAACATTGCTTTCTGAGGCACTGAGCAAAATTTGCTGATACAAAATATTGTCCCACAGTTCAAGAAAATCTCTCTCTTGATCTGGTTAAGTGGCAAGAACTCTATGGAGCATGCTGTCTGATCCTCACTAGATTCTTCCCCCCATGCCTGGAGAAGTATTGCAAATCTATGCAGAGAAGGATTTATAGTTCCTCTAAATGTATATTGAAATAATGGCATCAATAATAATCCTAGAAGATGAAAATTTGAGCTTAAAAGTCTTACTTTGGTATAATTCTGCCAATGATTACTTATTTTATGATGTCTGAAAAGAAAAAATATCCGTATGTAAGGGCTCTTAAATGGCAAAACGTCATTGAACTGCAGCTACTGAAACATAGCTTCAGAAAGTTACCCGAGAAGGTTGCCAAAGTAATTTGCCAGGAGCTAAAAGTAGTCTGTCATAAGGTATTAGAGTATGTGATAATAAGTAATGATGGCAGATAAATAAATATGTGTGTGGTCTAGCACACATGCATTGAACATTATATAAGATCATTCATGAGTGTTGAATAATATGAATGCACCAACTACACAAAGAAAACAGTAAGCAACATGTGTATGGAAACAAAGGATTTCACCAGTGTGTTAAGACCTTGTGATATTAAGTTGAGTGTGATTACTAACCAAAGGTATTATTTCAATATATCATGTTAATAAGAGGATGTTTCAATTTTAGAATTGAAATATTTGGCCAAAAATTATTTGTTCATTTTCATATCTAGTAACGTATTGTAAGATGGGAGTTAGAGGTTGTTGATATGTCTTTGAACTTTGGCCCTTTTATGCATAGGTCACGACAATAATATGTGAAGGCATTGATATCGTATACGAATTGTATGAATCTATGCATGAAGGCATTAAAGTGGACAATAATTTAGTCGTTAATTCCATCTACTTGGTATTCCTTATAATTATGTTTACATTAATTTGTTTTTCCCACTGGTTTGGTTTCGGTTGAGAAAATAAATGTGATTTGGAGTAATTAGAAAAAGACTTGAATCTGTCAATTTGTTTGGTTTTGTTGAATTTCGCGTAAAACTACATGAGGGACACCTGCGCTAACCGTACCTAGTTTTAAAGTGATAGACTATATGGTTGTGTGTTTGTTTGAGAGCAAAGCCACAGTGGGCTATCTACTGTGTCCATCGCTGGAATCGAACCCCAGATTTTATAGTGTTGTAAGTCGAGGGACAGACTAAAGGGAAAGCAGCTAATCAACGCCAACTCATAAGCTACTCTTGTGAGACAAAATAGTGAAATTTGATCGTATGTTAGTTAAGCTTATTAATAATTTAGTGGTCCTATTTTTTCTAAAATATTTTCGTTGTTTATGTATATGTTTATCTATTTCTTTAAAGCATTATTCTTTTTATTTTTTTGTCAAGGAAATTATAATTTTTAAGCTTCAGATAAGTAAAATGCATTACTTTTAGTATTTAGATGTTATAACTTTCTCTTATATTTCAAAAGAAAATTCAGAAATCTATATTTTCTCAACCCAAAGATTTTTTTAAGGATATGCCATGTACTTATTTTTTAACTAAATGTCGTCCTTCCGTTAGGTGTCGATATTTATTTCGAGCACAATAATGGTGTTCACAGGTAGAGGCTGTGATGCTGGCGAGAGTAGTAAAAACAAAACTCGATTACGTCGTACGCAGAGTGTTACTCGAGTGCAGGATGTAAATGAAAGGGAAAAGAGAGAACGAGCTGTCCAGCCAGATAATCCGTGAGTTTAGATTATGAGTTTTGTAAAGTAGCGTTCTAACTAGTCAATGTAAGTTTAAGTAACATGAGTAGGCTATGTTTATATAAAATAAAAGTTGCCCTAGAAAAGCCAGTACTAATACTATAGCCTTAGGAGTGTACTACTACTAGTAGTAGTATTGCTATTACTAACACTACAACTTATGTTAAATTTAAAGAAAACATGTAGATTTAAACAAATCAATGAAAAGTAAAAGTAAGAAACACTGTGAGTATAAAAGTAAAACCAAAAGTCTAAGTTAACCAAGCAGATTTAAAAGGCAGACCTTTCTTCATCAGTAGCTAACTCAATAAATTGAATTACACTTACAGTAGCAGTTTAGGTATCACTATCAATATTACTGCAACATTTGCAATTAACTGGACTATTTTAATTTATTCAAAAAATAAAAGTTGTGCTGGTATCTCTGAGTATTAAGAGTGTTAAATTTGTGAGTTGCATCCATCATAAACAATGGCCATGTAGACCCAACCTGAAAACATTTAGAACATAGTAATTACTAATTAAATTTGTATATAAATGTTTTCATGAGGGGGAAGCCATAATTTCTTTTTCCTGTCAGTGTAACATAACCAAAAACTTACTCATAAGGATTTTAAATTTCATACTTTTAATTTCATCTAATCAGAAGAATTTTAAACTGTGAAATCTGTAGAATTTTTTTTTAAATATTCCATTGTACAATTTTCAGTATTTAATTATTTTCTATCTGGTTTGGCATCCATTTTTGTAGGGTTCATCGGCCAAAGGACTCATTATTAAGCTTTTCAAGTGGGTACACCAACTACAGAGGATTGTTAAACTTATGTATTATTCTTCTTGTAAGTTGATTAGTTTGAGCTTCACCATGATTTTTTACTTGTGAGGGATTTTGAATAAGTTTTATAAAATGTGGTCAATTTAATAGATTCAATCAAACTATTAAATGTAAAGTGCTTTCTATATCCATAACTATTTTAGAAATACTTTGCATCAGTAGTCTGATTTTGGGAAAATAATTATTGAAGAAGTATAAAGACATATAAATATGTACATTATATATACATATACATAATAATGACAATGGAAATTATGTAATTGAATTAGGTATAATTTATGAATAAAGTGTTTTTAACATGAGTAGAAAACTAACATTATTCTGTTAATCTTGGTTTCAGGTGTGCAAGTAATGCTACAGTACTTACAAGAGAAAACATTAAAGAAAAATATAAAAATATAAACATATTATGCATGTAAAAGTTTCAAACATTTTAACAGTTTTACAGTATTTCAGCATTTTTTGACATATGATTTATTGATTCCTGCCACCTACAGTCAAACAAGATAGGTTTCATCACAATCCTGACATCAGTCACAGCCTTCCTTCTTTGCACAGCCAGATATTGTTGACTTTTCTCCAACTAGTTTGAAAGTAATTATAATTGTATGTATATACATGTGGTTTTTTTATGTTGTAATATTCTTTTAACATAAGTTGGGTGAAAGAAAATTGATTAATTTCCATTATCGAAAAAATAAATTTCTAAGTATGTATGTTGGAGGAGTCATGCCTTATAGGAAGGAAGTACTTCATGAAAAGTGTATAACAGCTACCATTTTGTATAATGAAGTTACCATACTTGTGAAATTGAAGACAAACTGCATGTATCGATATGTGTTGTATGCAAGACATTTTTCAGGTTCAGGAAGTTGGCACCATTGATAACAAACACAGTCAAAAAAGGAAGCTCAAAGTTGTACCAGTGATCTCACGTACCTCAGGATATGCTCCTTACAAGAAAGGAGACATTCTAATAGAGATCTAACCAATAATATTGCTTCAAGTAGAAATTCTTAATACACCCTGAGGACAGTCAGAAATAATTTGGCTCAGTGCAACCTCATTGAGCATTTAGCTGTATGAAAATGTTCTTTGTTGAGAGGCAAAGCAAAGGAAAAGTTGAAATGAGTAGTGAAAATCACATACAGGAGTGAGCAGGCCTAACAAGGGGTGTTGTTAATCATTGAGTCCAAGTTTGAGTTGTTCAGCAATCATCAATAGCAACATATTCAAAATAGGAAAATGGGACAGTAGAAGTATCAAAGTACAACAGCTGCAAAGAAACACGAGGAGGAATCTATTCAGCTTTGGGATAGCATCTCCTTTAATAGTGTTGGAGACTTAGTAAAAATTGGTGACATGCTGATGACAGATAAATACAGACAGATTCTAATCAATTATTAGAAACACACATAGTTGGCCAGGAATATATGTCTCAGCATGATAATTATTCTAAGCACGTAACCAACATGGTAAAAACCTTGCAGGAAAGGAAGCAGGGAACTGGAATACCAGACTTCTGCATTGGCCAACCAAGAGTTCGACTTGAACATCAATAAATTTGGACCTACATGGATAAAGAAGAGGTAAAAAGGCAACAAAGCAACTTGTAAAATTGTGTGACATGCTATAGGGTATTTGAAGGAACATTACATGCACTTTTATTAATAAATTCAATGGCAGCATGTTGAGCAGTTATCCTGATATAAAAAGAGCAAAGGGCTTACACACCATATGTTACTGTATATGATTAAATATTTGTATGTTGTAATTATGGATTAACCTGTTGTACATCTATAGATCTAATGAAACTTCTATGCTTATATGAAACAAATCTTTTTCTTGCAATACAGTACATTTCACTAACGTTTCCTTACTTGTTTCCATTACTGTACATTTATGAAATCTAAACTATTAAGATTTTGTTATGGATTTCAACTGATATTTTGATACTTTACAGCAGGTAATGTATCTGTAATCTTCATATAGTGACTTTTCTTTACTCATGTCCACAGGTTCTTTCCAATACCAGGGTTGCCTTGGAAAATATCATCAAGTGAGTAGAGTAGAATTAGTTAAATACAGAGGGAGGGGAAAAAAACTGTACTTGACATTTAATTATACATGTAGCCATATGTTCCCACGTAAATGTGAATTATTCAATAAAGAATGAAATTACTTTAAAAAAATAATTGAGTTGGTATAATTTATGGTAATGTACAAAAATATCATAAATTTCAAATCCAATAGATTTACCCCTGAAATACTGAAAGCCTTTCCTTGTTGCATTTGAATTCATGCTGTTGACAAAACATGATTCAAGATTTCTGAATTTCCTTTACAGATTACATAGCACTTACCCATAATTCTCCATTCTCTTACCTTCCCTTATTTATTGCATAAGCATCAGGGGAACTTCATAACCTTTGTTTTCCTGTCATGATTTAGATTTTCTTATTCACAGTCACACTGTTTACTTTACTATGACTTACTTTCTGATGGAACTGTTAATTGTAGGCATTACTTAAGCAATTTGCTGCAGCATGCTGTGCAAATTGTAGCTGTTATCTCAGCTCTAATGGTTCAAAGTATTTGTGCCATTGCATACTAATATTCCTGAAGGATATAATGATTGTGTGGGTGTTTAATATGCATCAGAATTTTCATTTTCTTTAGTTTTTCCTCAGGGTTATTTGTCTGCAGAGTTGGATTTCAATGCTAGACCTGATTTTGATAAAACTTCTGCTGGTCTCCTTTCTTTTTCACTCAGGTATGTTATATATATTTAAGTATTGAATCTATTTCCTTTATAACTGAGGGTTCTTCTGTCATGTGAAATGATTTTTGTACTTGGTTCTTTATTTTTCCCATCTTCTTTAGATATTTGGGTTGAAGATATTTTTTTAAACTAGCCCTGCATTGATACACTTCATATTCATTCTTCTACTCTTCCTTCCCTAGTTTTGATCCTCTTGGCTCTTATGTTCCATTGATACTTTCACACATTGGGTTGCATTGTTATATGCTCATCCTTTAAGCATCTAATCTCTATATATATATATATATATATATATATATATATATATAATGTTTTTTTTTCAAACTAAATAATTATTTCCCTTCTTGTGTTTGCAAATATGTGGCTTTAAATTGCCTCCCATTCAGGAGAAACTTGATAGCAGAAGTTGGTTAGGGTTTTTGCATCTCAGTTTGCTTCTGGTTGTCATTCACTTCTAGATTCCTGTGTGTTATGTTTAACAATGCTTGCTACATTTACTCATACTTTTAATGTGACCTAGCATCCAAACAAGCAAGGTATATCTTTATGACATACTATTCACTCTATTGTGAATGACTCTTTTGCTCAGATTATTGGGGGTCATCTCAGATAATTGTTCCTCTTTGTATTTCTTGGATTCTTCACTTTGATTTTATATTCATCATCAAAATTTGACTCTTCCAGTTTCTATATTATTTTGGATCTGACAGTTTTGAATTTATTCCACAACAAGGAGATATTGAATTTATACTTCGTGTTTCCTCATGTTATTTACTCTAACAGAAGACAACAGAATATTGAAGACTGGTCTTCAATCTATCCCAACTCAATTTCAATCGAGATATTCCACATCTTTAGGCAGAACCTATAAGAATCTCATGAAAGTTCCCTTGTCAAGATTATTGGATGATGAATAGAGATTTCAGAAACACTTACTTACAATTCTTGATTCAACCATCTTCATTTTTCACAAGGTTGAGTAATTTTTCAGCTTATGGCCCTTACATTTTGGTCTGGATTCAGCTTTCTTTGTCTCCACACATGTGGTAAAATCATTAGTTGGTCTTTTACAAGCACTCAGTATTGAATGTTATTGCATGGATGATTAGAGGATCTTCACTAAATGGTTACTTAATACTAAATTGACCTCCCAGTGAGATCCTTCTTTCAGATGGATTTTTCATGAATTCAAGTCTCAGATTGTGTCTATTCAATATTTCATTCCTCTGAGGTTTTATATTTACACTCTTTTAGGAACTCTTCACCTGTCTCCTTTGGCTTTGCAATCTCTCAAGTTTTGGGTGAGCAAACTTTCCCTTCTGTCAAATACATCCTTTCTAATTTGGGAATGTAGTATTCTCAAATATCCCATTTTCACATTATTCTTTTAGTGAGTTGGGCTGTTCCACATGGATATCAGGAGTTCCTGTCCTTGTTACACTAATGCTGTATTTTAGTACTCACAGACACTTCAACTATGGTGATGTATATCTACAGGCATGATCGATTGGAACTTGATGTTGCAACCTTAACTTGTGATTTCTTTACTAGTTTGGCTGAATCCACATAATTTCTTTCTTTGTGCTGGTATTTCATTGATTGTGTCAATGGTTCAACCATTCTATGCTTGATGCAATGGCAATGCATCATCTGGACTTCTGGTGCTTTACTGGTTTTGAATTGCAGGATCATCTTTTCTAGCAATGGCTGCTTCGAGCTGTCTTGAGAGAATTTTTTTTCTACCTGTCTTCTTCATCATTATTTTTCTCAGTTATTGACCAAGATCAGTTGGTCCCATTGTCCTATTCTTCTTGTTGCTGCATACTAGCCTGCTCCACCATGGTTTCCACTCTTCATACCTATCTCAAAGGGATTCTATTTCATTATTTTTTGATACATCTTCCACGGTGATGTTTATCATCTGCATCTTTATGACTGGCTATTATGTGGTCCTTTGTTATTGCAGGTGGCTTCTCTTCTTGGATAGCTCAAATTATGTCACATTCATGGAGACATTCATTCCTGGCAGTATACCAGTCTTGTTGGTCTCTGTTTTAGAGTTGATGTCTGTGGAATATGGTTTCATGTTTTTCTTCAACTTGTTAATGGTTTGTTTAAGTTTTATTAATGTACCTCTTTCATGATTGGGGCTTGTTTAATTTTATTGCTGAATATAGAATTTCTCTCTCAACCATTTTCAGTCACCACAGTAGCCATGTACCTCTGTCAGCCACACTTTTTTCTCAGGTGCTTTTTCAAAGTTTTTTTTATTATTATTATTATGTCTCCCACAAGTACTTATACATTGTCCCCAGTAGAATTTAAGTCTGGTAACAAGTTGCTTGTCTTCCTCTTTTTAACCCATTGCAACTCATTCACTCTACCATCTTTCCCTCAGATGGTTTTTGTTATTGATGTTTCTCATACATTTTTTTTTCAGGAAGGTTCTGTATTTGTATCCTGATAAAGCCTTCCGACCAGAGACTTGGAATGCAAGAGATGATCATCACTGTTTTTTCTCTTATTGTGTTACTTACTGTGACTGGCTCTGATTCTTCTTCTGATGAACATTTGTTATGTGTGGTCAGGGCTATTTGCTCATATTTTAGGGAAAAGGATGTTATCAAAGGAATCAATATAATTTCTTTGTCTTATACATTATGACAATTCTCTTTCTGTGGATCTTGCTCCATCCATATTAATGAATTCTGCTTGGATACATATATATTGTTATATAGACTATCATCTCCCTAGCCTTTAACTTGTAGTTCAGTAATTTTGGTTTCCTTTTATGTTCATCTGTTTTAACCTCCTTTACATTGTGGGCATTCTAACTTTCAGTGTTTTACAAGGAAGTGTATTTTATCTGAATCTTACATTTTTGGAATTAAAATGAAGTTCAAACACGTACTTACCTCTTACCCTGATAACCAAAATTTCATCACAACTGCCAATTTCAATAAAACCTAAATTATGGAGGAAGAGTAGAGATTATGTAAGATCTGACACTTGCACAATAAATCACATTGAAGATAGGCAAGTTGAGAATTTTGAGTAATGTGTAAAGGACATTTGGAAATTTTTAGTCACTTATTTTGTTGACAGCATGAGTTCATACTCAACAAGGAAAGGCTTTCAGTATTTCAGAGGTAAGTACCTGTTTGAAATTCATTTAACTCTAAAAATGTAAAAATATGGAATTACAAAAGTAAATTAATTTATCCTGATTTATTCTCCATAATTAATTTCATTTTTTTTTGGATGATGATGTTGCCAAGTGGACCCAGAATATCACAATCAAATATATTCATTAGAGTAGTGATTTTTTTTATTCTGTGCTTGAAAACCCACTTTGTTGTTTTCTATTCATAATGTAATTTCTGTTTTTTTTTATAATCATAAGAAAAACTTAATTGTTGTTTGGAACATTTTTGCCCTCGGTTTGGACAGTGGTAAGTCTATTCTCTACAATCCTAAAATCCGGTGTTAGATTTCCTGCAGTGGACATAGCAGATATTCCATTGTGGCTTTGCTCTAAAACAAGTAGTGTTTTTCCGTATTGGCTATTTAATTAGAGTAGCCCAAAAGTTACCAGTGGATGTTATTTACTTGCTGCCTCCCATGAAGTCTATCAATTCAAAATTATGAACGGCTAGTGCAAACTATATAGGCTTCTCGGAAATTTATGCTGTATTTTTATTAATTCAATGAATTATACATTTGAGTAATACTGGTTGAGTTTTGCTGATAGCTAGTATTTTTTTACACACACACATGTGTATATATTTTTTTCTTCTGTACCACTAACCACTTATGCCTTAGTCATTCACAGTGTTGTAACTGTACAGCTACCAAAATGTGTAAGTTTAACCTAATAACATATCTAACATTAGATTATAGCACACCCAACCTCCTCCTTTTGTTTTGGTCTTAAGTATTAATAGTAAGATGAGAGAACTTTAGACATTATCTTGCATATTTGTATTCACCTCTCATAACATCATAAAAATGTTGCAATTGAGCTTGAAAGATATTTGTTTTTTAAATGAAATTTGTTTAAGTTAACTTAAAATGCTTGTTTCTTAAGATATTGTGCTAAGATGGGACTTAAGGAAAGATTTGAAATTAACATATGCTTTTTAATATTTGTTTGTTGTCATCTTTATTGGAAAATATTTATTGTCAAATATTTTTCTTTTAAGCATTTTATGTTATCAAATTTTTATTTACAGGTATGGGATTCTGGTTGACCCTCTTCAATGGTTCAAAGTGTTTATGGGAAAGCCAGCAAACTGGCCATCAGTACTGATAGTATTAAGTATGTGGTGGTTTTTGCTTTCAAACCCATTTTCAGTAACTATTGGATATGACAATAAAATAGCATGAAATGATCAGAAATGTTTTTGGTATTTCATGCAAGTTGATTCACAGTGTAAACAGGATACAACAGACAATATGCATCTGTAAGTAGATTTCTACATTTACATGATCACAAAAAAACTATATGCTTCTAAGTTTCTAAGTAGCTTCACAACATTTACAAAATTACAACAAACAGTATGTAACTAAGTCTGGTTTGTAAGTAGGTTCACAACATTTTAATAATAGTAATGAATGACCTTATAACATCAAATTTCTCATTTTTCTGTAATTGGACACTCAACATTTCACTTTACAGCTTCTACAGGAACATTCCACTTAAACATAAACCTAACTTACAATACAAAGTTTAAATATACACCAATATGCACTACAGAAATTAAATAATGAGATTCACCACACTTACAGCATCACAACAATAGATATGTTTTTAAATCAGATTTGCAAGTAGACACAGAGCAAATAATATATTCCTGAGTTAGGTTTGCAAGTAAATTTAGAACGTTTACAGGATCACAACAAAAGGTATGTTCGTAAGTCAGGTTTGCAAGTAGATTCAGAACAAATAATATTTTCCTAAGTTAGGTTTGTAAGTAGATTTATAACATTTACAACATCACATCAAAAGGTATGTTCCTAAATCAGGTTTCCGATACGGTACTTCCCTCTGCTAATAAGATTAGCTATTCTCCTTCATTGCTGCCCTCTATGTGCAAACTTTTTTTTTATGCATGCCACAAGCCTTCTGCTCCCCCCTATTAGAATCAAGTGTTTCCAACGTGTCATGTAAATCATCATGTGTCACATCTCTGCTAATAGGAGCATAACATACTCATGTGACACAAACTATCACTTCTCATTTGACAGCGCTTGTGTTTGGGTATGTTTCTTTTTTTTACTTGATTTAAACAGTTTGAGATACAGTTTCTTCTCGAAGTGGTTATATTTTATACACTATTCAGTTTTCTTTTGAATTAATTTCATTCTAACTCATTATAGTCCCCTTTTTTATTATACATTCACCTTTCCGTCGACTCTTGAAAGAAAAACAGGAATTCTGAAGTTCATTGGAACCTTGCTTGGGATCCCTTGGCTGCTCTTATTAAACTTCCTCCTTCCTTAGTGAACGATCTGCTTTGGTGATTGGACAAGACTTACACATCAGTGAGCATCCTGCTTCCTTCTCATTGTCCAGTTTTACATCTGTTTATGAATGCAGCCCTTCAGGGCTGGGGTGCATGGGTCTATCACCAGGAAGCTTCAGGTCATTGGTTTGTCAATGAGCAGCCCTCACATATCTATATCCTCGAGCTTCTAGCTGTCCATCAGGCTTTGTATCGCTTCCTACCTCTCACCCTGGTGATGATTAATTCTGACAATTTGACAGTGGTAGCATATATCAATCACCAAGGTAGTACCCAGTTGAAATCCCTCTGTTTTCGTACGTTGGATCTCCTCTATTGGGTTCACAAGCACCACATTCATTTAATCGCACATCATGTTCTACTTTCAATCTCGTGGCAGATTGTCTTTCCTGCCCCGACAAGATTTATCCCATAGATTTCTATTTGGTTCAGTCCATATGTCCTTCTTCCATGGAGGTATATCAACAGAAGTGGGAAGTGTTTCACATGTGGTCACATGTTCGGGGAATTCCAGCTGCTCAACCTATTGTGGCTGGTGTGTCTTAGTTTTTGACATGGGTTTTCAACCAGGGGTCTTTGGTCTCCTCCATTTCGGATTATCAGGAAGCCTTATCCCAATCCTTTTGCCTTTCCCATTACCATAGAGTCTCTGATTTACTTGTCATTCCCATGTTAATCCATTCCTTCCAGATTTGTCGTCCACCCCAATGACCTACTCTTCTAGACTGGGATGTTAATGTGGTCTTCCATTCTCTCACTTTACCTCTGTTCGTTCCTATTTGCTCGTGTTCTATGTTTCATTTTTCCCTTAAAGTATATTTTCTTCTCCTTTTGGCTTGTGGTCATTGATGGTCTGACTTGTTTGCCATTGAAATTACATACACACTTTGTCCTCAAACATATTTTATCCTTTATCCAGATCGTTCCTTCTTCCTGAAAACCTTGGCAGCTTTCCATTCCATGGCTTTGCAATGCTCCCCATTGAGATGGGGTGTTTCACAAGATTGCTTGAAGGTGAGTAACCTTGCAATGTTTGCTTCATAAAACTTGCCAGTTCCAGACCATACCACCCATGGACTTCATGGGTAAAGCAGAAGGGGATAGCTGCCCATCCCTGCCATTGAATAAATCGGGATGGTCTGCTTTTCAAAAATAGGTTTCGTGATTACCAATTGCACTGTCTCAGGTGATGAGATTCCTCTGGACTCTCCTACGCATTTTCACCCCCTTCAAGTGGAGTATGGGAGTCCTTACCACTTACCAGTTCCAAGCTGCTTGGGTAGTCGACTGTGGAGGCACCTTGCTGAATGTTTTCCACACAATACCATTCAGTACAGAGTAGGGCAATGGTGTTCTGCTGGTGTAGACGATGTGCTATTCTCCATCACATCGAATTGCAGTTTATCCCTCATACTACTCCAATGCAAATGTCAGTACCCCGCAGCTGGGTTTTGGATTTAGAGTGAAGCAATCAACATAAATCCTCATGCATGTTCAAGGTTGTCTATCTTCCTCCCTCAATTGTGCTCCCCTTGTGTTGTGGGTCACAGTAGGAATAAGGGGAATTGTTCTGCTCTCTGCTATCCATCATGTACCTTTGTCCGAGGATGTTATTGCTTATCAAATGGTTCTGGTTGGTTTTGCTGTTAGGGGAGTAAGTTTTGTTTTCATAGACATCCTTTCGATAGTGGATGTCAGGTTCCTGGATCAAGATATTCCTCAAGTAACATTTGTCATGCCCTAGGGTTGGAATGGTTTTAGATTCCCTCCGGTCTCTGGGGCATGAGGTAAAGATAGTATGATCCTCATCCTACCCCTGTGTGGATGTCTGTTCCAAGCGGCATAGATTTTGGATGTAGTTGACTTATGAAGTACGGTCCTTCATGCACTACCCAATCTATACTGTGGGGCTCATCCTTTCTTTACCCACTTTTCTGCTTGGTAGGATTGACTTGCATATATCTACTTAAGGATTCGTATAATTATCCTCCCTCAATTCTCTCCCACTTGGATGTACTCCTCTCCTTTTCCCACCCTTTTTCTCCACTCTTTATGGATGAGTGAAAAGGATATCTGGTTAGAAGCGGTGCAGTTCCTCTCTTCAGATCTGACTCTCTCATATATGGAGGTTTCCTTCAGATGCTTTTTGGGTGTATGTCTGTTCTTTCCTTGCACCTGTCCCTCTTCCTAATCAATGTGGGATTCTAGTTAATCTTGTGAGATGAGGGAAGTACTGTATCAGAAGTTATAAGTTTCCTATAATGAAAATGTATTTCCAATAGGTTCTTCTCACCCATCCTCCCCACACTTATCCGGTGCTTCTGTCTTCTGCCAGACCTTGAAGTGATAGTTTGGTAGAAGTGCATAGAGGGAGTCACGTGCGTTACGTGAGTATACCATGCTCCTATTGGCGGAAAGGTGATGCATGATGATTTACATGACAGATATGTTGGAATCACTTTACTTCAATAGGGGGGGAGTGGAAGGCTTATGGCATGCAAAAAAGAAAAATTTTGCATATAGAGGGCAGCAAAGAATGAGAATAGCTAATCTTGTGAGTGGAAGGAAGTACCTATTTGAAATACATTTTTAGTATAGGCAAATTATAACTTGCAAGTAGATTCAGAACAAACAATATGTTCCTAAGTTAGGTTTGTAAGTAGATTTACAATGTTTACAGGATCACAGGATCATAAAAAAAATATAGAAAATATTTTTCTG